GATTTCACAGCCCTGATTATAATCCCTAACTGTCAAAAACTCTCCTCCCCTCTTCTCACTGTCACTACCCCTGCCCTATGCCCTTCTTGTCTATGGATTCCTATCTGTCCAGCTTTCCCTCTCTGTGAATGCTGATGTTTCATGGATGATTGATCTAAGGAGTTCATCTCCCTAGGGTAGGTGAGTATGTCTCCCTGAGGTAGGTGTTCTGCTTGTAAGTCTTTCTTGCTGTTGGGCTGAGAGCCAATCCATGGAAATGAGTCCATTTCTAGGCCTGAAGGATAACCTGGGGCCATAGTCTAGTACCGGGCTGTTTTTATTACTACAGCTGTATAGCAGATTTTGTGATCAAGGAGTGTGAGGCCTCCCACTTTCTTCTTCTTCTTTAGTAGTGCTTTACTTATTTGTGATCTCTTTCTTTCCATATAAAGCTGGTGATGAGTTTTTCATCTCTTTAAAGAATGATGATGAAATTTGGATCAGAATTGCATTGTATTTGTAGATCACTTTGAGTAATCCTATCTATGAATATGGTATATTCTTCCATTTATGTGGGTCTCTTTAGGGTTCTTGTAGTAGTGTTTTATAGTTTTCTTTGTATAGGTCTTTTGTGTTTCTGATTAGATTTATTTCTAAATACTTTATCTTTTGGCAAGTTAGGAGCTCTGGTAGCGTAGTGCCTACGGCATTTGACTGCTAATCAGAAGACTGGCAGTTCAGACCCACTAGCCACTCCTCAGAAAGAAGATTGGGCAATCTACTTCCGTAGTGATATGCCTTGGAAACCCAAGGTGGCGGGGGTGGTATGTGTCAGATCCAACTTGACAGCAGTGAAGTTTTTTTTGTTGTTGTTTTGGCTAGTTATTGGAAATAGTATTGTTTTCCTGATTTCCTCTTCAGAGATTTCTGTGTTGTATAGAAGAATCCAACTGATTTTTGCATCTTGGGCTTGCACCCTGCCATTTTGCTGAATCTTTCTGTTAGTTCCAGTAGTTTTCTTGTTGATTCTCTAGGATTTTCTATGTATAGGATCATATCTACAAATAGAAAACTACACTTCTTTGCCAGTTTGAATGCCTTTCATTTCTGTTTATTGCCTTACTGCTCTGGCTAGGGCTTCCAATACAGTATTGAATAGGAGTGGTGATAAAGGGCATCCTTGTCTGGTTCCCCTTTACAAGGGAAATATTTTCTGTCTCTCTCCATTGAGAATAATGTTGGCTGCTGGTTTTGTATATATGCCCTTAATTATGGTGAGGAATTTCCCTTCTATTCCTATTTTGATGAATATTTTTATCAAGAATGGCTATTGGATTTTGTCAGATGCCTTTTATGCATCATATGATATTGTTGTTATTTGCCATCGAGTCGGCCCCGACTCCTAGCGACCCCTCCCTTGGGTTTCCGAGACAGTTATCACTACGGAAGTAGGATTGCCCAACCTTCCTTCCGAGGAGTGGCTGGTGGGTTTGAACCGCCAGCCTCCTGGTTAGCAGTCAAGTGCCTTAGGCACTATGCTACCAGAGCTCCCATATGATATTATATATACTAATTTATTTTAATTGAGAGAAAGTGACTTTTTAAGGTGATCTGACATTTCAGATAGTCATCTTGGAACTAAATTTGAGGTTTCTTTATGCCATAACAATGTGCTATTTAATTTTAAGCAATTACAATTTGCATTCTTATTAACCTTTTCTTGATTTCCCTGTTTGGCACACGTAAACGCATTTAAACTATGGAGTAAATTGGTGAAGGCCTTTTTAACATAACTTTTGTCTAATGGTGATGGTCTTGATTTTTGAGGTTCTCAAGAAGGTCATAGAATATGATGTCTGATAAGTATTTTTAGATGTCTAATAAGTATTCTTAGATGTCACGTAAGTTTCATAGTAATATGAGTGTATTAAAGTTGTATAGTCCCACACACTGTTATGCTTTAAGTTATGAAAGATCAGTATTTATCAAGACCTCTTGAACATATAAATCTTTTAAAAGAGTAAAAATTCTTCATTTTGGGAGCTACCGATGATCCAATTATTAAAAGCATTTAATAAGATAATTAAATATTGTTCATACTGTAGTTCTTTATTTTTCCCTCTAAATTTGCAGCATAAAATGTGACAGCTGTTGTTTAAAAGAATTGAAAGAAATCCCAAACCCAAACTGCATTAGTAATAAAGCATTCCCATCTTCATCCTCCCCTACTCCCAATAGAGGGCAAGAGTCAGGGAATGTTCCTGCCTATTGATAGAGCCCTCTTCTCCAGAGTTGTTGGGAGAGAGCAATGGAGTATGTGTCTTCCTTTGACAGTTTTTCTGGGGCCTTGATCTCCTCTCTGAGGTGCTCTAATGGCACAGAGATTATAGCATTGGACCAATGCTAACCAAAAGGTCAGTGATTCCAACCCACCAGCCACTCAGAGGGAGAAAGATGAGACAGTCTGCTTCCATAAAGATCTGTAGCCTTGGAAGCCTTATGGGGTGGTTCTCTGTCCTGTGGGGTCATTATGAGTCAGAATTGACTCACTGGCAATGGGTTTTTGGGGAATCCTCTCTATGTTGAAGTATAAAGTGAATTGATCCTTTCAGCCTTTTTCTTACCCAAACATAGCTTGGGCTTCTTTCTCACTCTCTTGAATGTGTTTTATGGTTGTTGTTTTTTTTCCACATTACTTTAGTATATGATATTTTGATACTTAAGAAATTTTACTTTTTTTAAAAAAAAATTATCTACAGCAAACATATAGCAATTCAACAGTTTCTGCAGGTACAGTTCAGTAGCTGCTTCTTCAAGTTGTGCAGCCGTTCGCACCTCCTTTTCTGAGTTGTTGCTCCTCCACTAAACTATCTCTTTGGCTGTACTTATTTCTACCTAATTAATGAAGTGTCTGATAAAAGAAACTCATCCTTGGAATAAATCCTTTTTTATAATGCCATCTCTTTTAAACCTAGGTATAATTCATTCATTCATTCATTGTTAACATCTTTGTAAGAAAAGGAGTGAGAGTCATCAGGAGGTGTTTATTCACACTGTTATAGTACATGTTTTAGTTGTTTGGTTATGTGGTTTGGGTAGCTTTTAATTTAATTTTAAATAATTTTTTTCTGATTTGCAATACCCCCTTGTCTGTCTCAGGGTTGGACTGGTCAGAAGAGAGTGGGGAGGAACTGGAGGACTCAGAGCAGGCCTCACCATACCAGGTGGCATGGTCCATCCGAGAAACCCTCAGATATGAAAGACACGCGTAAGTCTTCCTTTTGGATTTGATTTTTTTTCCTACTATAGCAGATTGGCTTTTCCCCATCTAAACTAATGTTATTTATTTTATTAGATCTAGTTTTATCATTAGGAGGCAAATGAGATTCCACTTGGAAAGAAATGTTATTATATTATTTGAGGAAAGCCTTTCTTCAGTTTTCTTTTACCTTCAGTAAAATGTTGAATAGAAATAATGAGAATAAACATAGTTGACTTTCTTCTGTGTGAAATACTCATGGAATTTTAGTTTAAAATAATTTTTTATTTATGGAGGTTCCATTTATTTCTTTTTCAAATCTACGTGATTATTCCTGTCGGTCTTCTGTTGCCATTACTCTTTGTGAATCCATACATAGCTTTTATATTTTGTACCTGATAATTCCAACATTTGGGATCCTGGTGACTTTAAATCTGCCATTTATGGTTTTTGTTTCTTCTTTCCTTGAAAGTAGTTTGCCTCATTTGCATGGTTATCTTTGATGGTGAAGGCCCTGCATTATCCTGAAGTCTCAGCTTCAGCTGCTTCATTGTGCTGTCGGAAGGAGACTATATTCCACATCGGTGCTCCTGTCACTTCATGTCCTGAGTGCAGCCCATTTCTTCTACTCTTAACTGCTTTCATCTTTAGCTTCAACTCTCATTTGTTTCTTTTCACCAGGAAGTTTGAGGAAGAGATTTCCTCTGTGTCTTTTGAGACCAACAGTGTATCCCTATTTTATCTAGTATGTAGTTGTTTTAGAATTGGAATACGCTGAGAGTATGTAATCTGCCATATTGCCTTAAGTCTGTGTATTTTGTTTTTGTTTCAACTATCATCTCACTGTGGATGACTCTCAAATCTTTCTTGCATCTGACCTTTCTTTCTGAGCTTGAACTGCCTATCAGAAATTTCCAATCAAATATCCTATCAATAATATACTACAGAAAAACATTGTTCTATATCCTGCTTTGGTGAGCAGTGACTAGAGTCTTAAAATCTTACAAACAGTCATCTAAGATGCAACAATTGAGCTCTCCCCATCTGAGGTAAAGAAGAGGAAAGAAGATCAAAGATACATGGAAATAATTAGTTCAAGGAACTAGTGACCGTGGAACCTCAGCCTACATGAGCCTGAGACCAGAACTAGATGGTGCCCAGCTACCACTGCCAACCAGTTGGAAAGGGATCAAAATTGGAGATCTGGATAGAGTGGAAGAAAAATGTGCAACAAAACTCAAAATCATTTAAAAAAAAAGCTTACTGGTCTGATACAGACTGATGAAATCCCCAAGATTATAGCCCCTAGTCACCCTTTGGGCCTGGAATTAAACTCACTCCCATGGCTTAACTTCTAGCCAAACAATAGTCCTATGAGGTAAACAGTTTTACCAGGGAGGTGCACTCCTTAGAACAGTCAACCATGGGAGCTCTGAAGGACAGCATTTGTGCAGGGAGATAGTTCAGAGGGTAGGAATGCATAGGAAAGGACACAGGGAAAAGGTAACTATGGGGAGGAAGTGGGAAGAAAGTTGTTATATTGTAGGGATTGCAATCAATGTCAAGAAACAAATTGTGTATGAACTGTTGAATGGAAAATGAAATTGCTCTGTAAACTATCACCCAAATCACAATTTAAAAAAGAAAAAGGAAAAAAAATAGCCTGTCAATAATCCAAACTGAGCATTTGTGAAATTAAACTCATTTTCTTCAATGTGTGTGCCTCTTCCTGATTCTTATTCTTGTTATTCTTATTCCTGATTCCTTATTCTTGTCAGAACTGTTTCTTTTTTGGTTTGTTGTTGTTTTAATAAAATAAATTTAAATGAATTTTATTTAGAGAATTTCATGTCATCCTTTGAGATTACAGACAGAATCTTAGAAAATGATATTTGGAATTTACTTCTCAATATTTAGGGTTACTAGTAGCATTTTAATAATAATAATGCCTGTATTTATACTGTACTTGCACCTTAGATATTTCTTTTCATTCTCTTAACAACCTCCAGGGATAGGTAGACAGCCGTATCTTTCATTTCACAGATGAGGGACATTGAGGAAGGAGGAAAGTGACTACTGAGAACACTTTAGCTAGCTGTCAGCTCTTGTCACTACTGGTGAATGATGAGAAGCCAAGCTTTCAGCTCAGGTCTTTGTCTTCCCAGTTCACCACCCATCTCAGCAACCAGGTTTGAAATATTATTACCATGACATCTTAGAAGTGGGAAGCATCTTGTAGATTTTCTAGTTTAGAACCATGGTAGGGGTGGTATATGGACTTGGGCCATTCTGCAAACTGCCTGTGACTGCCCCACAACAAGATAAGCACAGAAACTGAGAAGAATATTTAGGAGCATTTATAATAATCTAACATTACATCAACATCCAAGTTTGTCTTCCCACAGTTACTTCACAAAGCCCTGGTCTAGTCTCTCCTCCCTGCACTACCAGTCTTTTGAGTAACAATTTTGACAAGTGGTTGTCCACTGAAACTTTCAGCTTCCCTTTAAGAGTTGTTGCTTTTTCTCCCTTTTTTATCAATGGTACTTCTGCTCTCCTAGTTATCCAAATTCGAAGCCATGGAGTCATTACTGACTTTCTTATCCTTCATACCCAGTCACCAAACTGAGTTAATTCTTTTGTGATAATGCCCCTGGTTCTTTCCATTAGCTCTGATTTTTCACTTTTAGTCTCTTCCGTGTCTTTCAGTTGTCAGTTGTTGACTCTGAAGTCTGAATCTCTTCCTTCAGTGTGCTCCAGTTTATCATTTCAAATGGTTTATCTACAGCTTCCCTTTATACTCCATTACCCTCAACTTTAAATTAGTTTTGCCCCCACTCTGCTCTTGTTCCTTACTTAGTAATGGTACTACTGTTCTTCCTCAGTCTTCACCAGTGGGAACTATTGAGTGACAAATTTCTTAACTATTTTCTCCTTCCATCTCTTCTTCTATTTACTCTGTGAGTGCTGACAGTATAATCTGCCTCATGCATAGCTCTATTGTTGTTATCCATTTTCTTAAAAATTGACAAAGGTTCTTCCTTGCCTTTGGAATAAAGCCAAGACTCTTTAGTCTTGTATTGAGGTTTAGAAAGTATAGCCCATCATTTAGCCAAATTAAGCTGTTTAGTACTTGCCGCACCCCATCCTGACCATCTCTGAATCTTATATTGTTTTATCTATGTCATATCCCCTATGTTTCTCATCTTCAAATTCTACATTTTCTTCAAAGTTCAGTTATATTGTCATGTCTTTTACAAAAGCCTTCTCCATACTCTACTAGTAGACTTTCCTGTGAACTTCAGTAGCACATTCAGTTTATACCATTTACTGGCTCTACTAGAGCTCCCCGTTGAAGATCTGCTGTGAAACTTCAGAGACCAATTCAAAATAAAGATTCCAAGACCCCATCCCACAGCGATTCTGGTTCAGCAGATCTGGAGTAGGTCCTGGAAATCTGAAATTTTTAAAAGCTTAGGTTTTACTAACTTGTCACCTGGTGTTTGAATCGTTGGTCTGTCTACCCCACAGTTTTAGTTATTGCTTCTGCCCTCTTTTGAATTGTTTAAGTTTTCAACTGTGTTTTTTCTTGTCTAAATTGCATTGTAAACTCCTAGAAAAAATTTGCCTCCTCTCCATAGTGCTTAGCATATAGTAGTAGACACATAGTAAATGTTGAATGTTGGATAAATAAAATAATTTGTACATCTGTAGTAGAAACTATAGAGACTCTACTGAAGAGAACATGTTTCTTAGGATAGATGCTAAACATAAGCTTACAGAGTAGCCATCTATGGGTTATTAGGAAGGAAAGAGGAATAAGACTGCTTGAGAAGAGAAGAGAAATCAACCAATGATTTACAGAAGATTAGTAAGATAATACATGTCTGTGGTATCAAATAAGTGGTTACTTACTTACATTATGATAAAAGAGAAAGACAAATAACATGTCAATTTTGAAGTCTGTTGTGAGTTATTCCTAATAAAAAGTAAGATCTCACATGGTTCATCTGACCTTTTTTATCCCACTGATGGTGGGCGTTGCTGGCTAAGCATGGCACTGTTTCCTGGGGAGCCTGGAGTGTCCTTAGCATCATTTTCAACATAGAATTCCAGCAGCAACCACCAATCAGTAGACATTAGCATGGAGAAAAAGCCTCTATGTGATATCTGGTTTATCAAATGCTCCCACTGTTAAAAAACAAAACTAAACTGCGATCTCTACAATCAAAATGTTTAAGTTCTTAGCAATAAAAGGGTAGTTAAAAACAAGTACATCTGAAAGAACAGCTCTCTGGTAATGTACTGTTAGAATTCACTGTACTATTTCTGATAGGACATATGTTTTATGAATTTATGCTGAGTATTTTCTCCTAACTGCCATGTTATTTACTCCGACGTTTTATTAATAAGCAAAAAAAAAAAAACTAAACTTACTGCCGTTGAGTCGATTTGACTCATAGTGACCCCTCCTTGCATTTCCAAGGAGTGGCTGGTGGGTTTGAACCACTAGCCTTCTGGTTAGCAGTCATATGCCTTAGGCACTCTACCTCCAGTGACTCTCCCCCTGACCCGAGTCCCTAGTCACTTAAAATTTAGTAGACCCTGATTCAGTTAAAAAAAAAAAAAAAAAAGGAGTTCTGGTGGCATAGTGCCTAAGGCATTTGACTGCTAACCAGAAGGTTGGCAGTTCAAACCCATCAGCCACTCCATGGAAGGAAGACGAAGCGATCTATTTCCATAAAGATTTATCACCTCAGAAACCTAGTGGCGGTCGCTGTGAGTCAGAATCAACTCGATGGCAGTGAGTTTGGTTTTGATAGATGCATTAAATGCATTAAATAGCGTGTGATTATCACATGCTAATATGGCTAAGCTTCTTACAGCGTTGAATAGTCTCTACTGCCTGGCTTATTTCTGGCTCTCGTGGAATTCTGTTACTCTAATTTGTTAAGTATGTGTTCACATGCCTCAAAAGTTTAAACCTGCACAGCCAGCTATGCTTCCTCATCTTGTTTTCATTTCTCTCCCTGTTCTTTCCAGGTCAGATGATGATGATACAGAGAGTAGGAGCTCCAGGGTGACCCAACTTTGCACTTACTTTCAGCAGAAATATAAGCATCTCTGCCGCCTAGAGCGGGCAGAATCTCGTCAAAAGAAATGCCGGCATACGTTTAGGAAAGCCTTGCTGCAGGCGGCCAGTAGAGAGCCGGAATGCACCGGGCAGTTAATACAAGAACTGCGGAGAGCTGCGTGTAGTCGAACCAGGTTAGAGCCACCCGTAGCCACCTGTTTCTAAGGCGCTTTCTCAGTCTGTTTTCTCCAAAGGACAGTGGAGACCCAATGAGCGACAAGCATCTAAGCCCGAAACATGAAAGCACTGTATTTTGGTTTGTGCTCAAAGATTTAGAGAGCTTACATTTTTATTGAGTTTGTTTCACACTTTTTATTTAACTTGTTATATTTTGAAAGGATGACTTTGAGTATGTGAATAGAAAAAACCTTATTTATGCTGAAATTTTAGTAGTTTTTGGCTCTCAATGATGGGATTATAAATTAAAGTTAAGAAAAGAGTCTTAGTTTGTATATTCTAATTTTCCTACACTGACCATGAGTGATTTGAGTAAAAAAGGTGTTAAAACAATTAGAAAACTAAAGTGTAAACTTTACTTTGTAGCTATCGATTATATTATATACCTAAAATTTTTTTTGAAATTTTAGTTTTATATATTTGGGTTTTTATTATAAACTTTTTAAAAAGTATCCTAAATCTCAGTTGTGTATCCGAGAAATATATTAAGAGTATTCTTTTTCTTGGCATGTTTAGAGTTGTTTGCAGCTCTGCCTGTGCATCTGATATATTATAGACTGTAATACTTGACAGTGTGGCTGGAGTCTCTGTGCTTTCCTTTTCTCCTAGAGCTCCTCCTCATCCTCCATAAGGAAGGCAGTGTCTGCTCTCGAGCATCTGTTAAGTCTCAGCTTATATATTTCTTTCTTTGAGAAACCTCCCTTGATTCCCTCGTCTGTGTTAGGTCCCCTGTTATAGGTGCATGTAGTCCTTTATGCTCTGCTTCACTGTAGGATTTTTCACTTATAAAAGGTGTCTCTCATGCTAGACAGTAATTTCCATGAGGGCAAGAGCAGAGTCCATTTTTTCTTTTAATCTCCAGTGTTGATGAATGATTGAACAGAACTGAGCAAGCGAAGATTTATTCTCTTCGTCAGAAGAATTTACTAAGTTTGACGTTGCTGTTTTTAGATGTCGTCAAGTTGCCTCCGACTCATAGCGACCCCGAGTACATGAGAACAAAGCACTGCCTGCTCGTGCACCCTCCTCACAATCCTTGCTGTACCTGAGTCTGTCATTGCAGTCACCATGTCATCTCATTGAGGGTCTCCCCCTTTTTCGCTGACCCTCAGTGCGATAAACTGACAGACAAATGGTGGAAATTTGACACAGATTATAAACTCACAATATTTAATATTGCCCAGTAGTAAAAGTGCATCACTAATGTTGTATAAGGAGCTCTGGTAGCATAGTGCCTAAGGCACTTGACTGCTCACCAGAAGGCTGGCGGTTCAAACCCACCAGCCACTCCTCGGAAGGAAGGTTGTGCAATCCTACTTCCGTAGTGATACTGCCTCGGAAACCCAAGGAGGGGTCGCTATGAGTTGGGGCCAACTCGACGGCAAAAAACAACAACAACAACAAATGTTGTATAACTGTTACCTTTCTTCAGTGACTGGTAACTTACTACCACCTTATATTAATAAGGTGCTGAGGTATATAAGATTACTAATAATGTCATTAATAAAATGAATACTTATTGTGAAGAGAGCGGGGATTGGCAAACCAGGGGATATGGGTGGGAAAGAGATTCATCAGTACCTAGCTTTTCATTCTTTGATTTTTTTGAATCATGTGCATATATTTAAAACCAAACCAAACTCACTGCCATCGAGTCAGATCCAACTCATAGCGACCCCTCCTTGGGTTTCCAATGTGGTATCTCTACGGAAGTAGATTGCTCAGTCTTCCTTCCGAGGAGTGGCCAGTGGGTTTGAACCGCCAGCCTTCTGGTTAGCAGTCAAATGCCTTAGGTGCTACACCACCAGAACTCCAGTGAATGTATTACCTACTCATAAAATTTAAAAATAATATTATAAGCATATTTAAATATTAAGTATATGGAATAGAGTTAACATTTAAATAGTAGAACACAGGTGCATTTGTAAGTGAAAGTTTTTAAAAATTATGTTCAAAGCCAATGCATTTTGGAGAATGAAAGTGAATCAATCATGTCAGCATATCAATACCCATGTATCAAGTTTTTTTGCAGGTTTACTGTTTAGCTGACCAAATCATAATGATGATGATAATAGCAATGGCTAGCACCCACTATTTACTATGTATCTTTTATGTCCTGTGTGATAAGTGTTTTAGATATTTAATGCCTTTTGGTGCTCACAGCAACCTTTAAAGGTGAGGAAATTGAGGCTTAGGTGAGGCTAAGGAAGTAAAAGTCACACAGCTAGTAAAAAGTAGAATGGAGATTCAGAACTAAGCCTGTCTTATTTTAGTCTCACGTTCTTTATTACTTTTCTCTACTGCCTCTTAGTGAAGTAAAAGGAATCAAATTGCTACTTCAGACCAAACCAGATTGACATATTTGAAACCTTTGTAATGTAATTCTTTGCTTTGATTGTCAGTAATCAGGGAAATATTAGAACAGGTCATTGTGCTACCTGCTTCCTTGAACTCATTTGCATTTTATTTAGTGAATAAAATGTGGGTATTACAGAGTGGTGACGGAATGCTGAAAATTGCCTTGGATTCTTGAGGAATTTTTTTTAATTAATTTGTTTGTCCTTCCTTAGCATAAGCCGGACCAAGTCGAGAGAGGGAGAGCCAGCAGCATGTAGTGGAACTGTGAAGGGTGAACCCTGCACGAACAAAGCCCTTCCGTTCACCAGACATTGTTTCCAACGTATCCTCTGAGCTGAATTGAGTGTGCATTGCCAAAGTGTTAACCTGAGTATTTCATTCTTAAGTTAAGTGAATGACTTTTGAAGTCATAATATAACTTCTAATTTTCATGAAATCCTCTGATTAATTTTTTTTCTACTTACGTTATTGCAATTCTTTATTCAATAATCACATCAGAATAAGCAAAATTCATAGCAAGTGGCATGTTCTTCCAATGACTGTAAAGTTATATTTTGATAACAAAACTCTGGTCCCTCAGGTGGTTCCAGATAACTTGTAAGAAACGGTGATTAAAAACTGTGGTACATACACACAATGGAGGACTACGCAACATCAAAGAATAACAATGAATCTGCAAAATACCTTATAACATAGATGAATCTAGAAGATACTATGCTGAGTAAAATCAGTCACCAAAGAACAAATACTGTATGAGACCACTACTGTAAAACATCAAGAAAAGATTTACACACACACAGAAAGAAACATTCTTTGAAGGTTACTAGGGATGGGAGGGGGAGGGAAGGTAAATCAGTAACTAGAAAGTAGACACATATTAACTTGGGTGAAGGGAAAGGCAATATACAGTAAAGAAGAGGCCAGCACAAAGTGATCAAAGGCAGAGGAAAATACTGGGAGGGGCACAAGAATTAGAGGCAAATACTGTTACATACACGATCCTGCAGTAACAACAATATAGATAGATGTTCAGCCTGAACACAGTAGGAAGGTGGATGAGACTATACCCACAAATATATATAGATACATATATATAGGTTTGACAGAATAGTTCTACACATGTATTTACCTGTGCTCCAAATACATCCATGAATATAGTAGAACACACAGGGGGCAAAGTTAAGAAAACTTCTCAGCCATAGCCAAGCACCTTGAGGGAATGAGTTGCTGGCCTTAGGGGCTCAGAACCATAGTCTCAGGGGACACCAAGGTCAATTGGCATAATAGCCCACAAAGATAATGGTCTGCATCCTACTTTGGTAAATAACGACTGGGATCTTAAAAGCTTGTGAGTGACCTTCAAAGGGGCAACTATTGGTCTCTCCTGTCCAGAGAAAAGATGAGTGAAGAAAACCAAAGGCATAAGGAAAAAATTAGTCCAAAGGATTAACGGACCATGTGAACCCCAGCCTTCTCCATGACCCTGAGACCAGAAGAACTAGATGGGGCCTGGCTACCACTACTGACTGCTCTAAAAAGGGATCACAAGAGAAGGCCCTGGATAGGGGGAGAGAAAAATGTAAATAAAGAACCCCTCAAAAATCATGAAAAAAAGACCATGCTTACTGCTCTGATAGAGAGTGGTGGAATCCCTGAGACTATAGACCTTCAGGTCTGGAACTGAATTCATCCCCGTGGCTCATCTTTTAGCCAAAGATACACATGCCTATAAAGTGAATAGTAACACCAGGGAGATACACACTCTTTAGAACAATCAACCATACCAGATCAAAAGGGCAGCATTTGCCCAGGAATAAAGCTTAGAAGACAGGAAGGGGTAGGAAAGAAAGATAAAGGAAATGGTAAACACTGGGAGCAAGTGGGCAAGTGCTGTTGCGTTGTGGGGATCACAGCGTCACAAAAAAAATATATTTGAATTGTTGCATGGAAAACCAATTTACTCTGTAAACTTTCACCCAAATCACAATAGAAAGTTAAAGAAAATTATTAGGAGAATCTTTGGAGAAAAGAAAAAAAGCATATCATCATGACAACTTAGAACACTAAAGACAGAGTATTTTAAAAGATTCTAGAGGGAAAAAAATAGGTTACAAAGCAATCAAGAGTCCTTACTCGCTGCAAGGTTGGTAATTCGAACTCATGCCTCAGAAAAGAGGCCTGAGGATCTGCTTCTAATGGGCATAGCCATGAAAGCCCTGTGGAGCACAGTTCTATTCTGCACACATGAAGCTTTCATGAATCAGAACCAACTTGACCACAACCAACAAAAGCATTCAAGAGATCAAGAAGTAGAATGGCATCAGATTTCTTAAGAGCAACGTGGAAGATAGAAGACAATTCCTCAATGTTTTCAAAATTCCATGCAAAAAAAAAAAAAAAACTTTCACACATAGAATTCTGTTTCCAGCATAATTATCAGTCAACTATGAAATAAAGTGTTTTGGAAATTTTACCTCACAAATACTTTCTCAAGAAGCTATTAGAGGATTTGTTTCATCAAACAGAAAACCAAGAAGGGGTAGGGGGGCAGAAACGGTATCTTGGAAACAGGATCCAACACCAAAAAAAGAGAGAGAAAGGGACAGAATTAACCACCAGAGGATGGTGAGAAGGTCAACTAGAGAGCAACTGGTCCAAGAGACTGGAGAAGAGAACCGGGACAGCAGACGGCATGTCTTCAAGGAAAGTAAACGATGAAATAAATGAAGACAAAGGAAACAGTTGTTCTACTCCGTGATGGAAGAATCAAATAACATTATCCAAAATTGTTTTTGCTGTCCCAAGCAAGTTACATAGTTCTATAGTGTACTTTTTGCTGTAGGATTATTTTAGTTGTAGTGAGCACAGTGCCGATTTGAAATGAAGGAGAGGTGAAATGTAGCAAACGTCACTGACTAGGAAAGAAGGTATCTTAAGACAATGCACTTGAGGAAAACCTATGCTGGGGAGTTCAGACTTAGCCTCTGGGGACTTCTCCTCTCACTTTTACTGAACATTTACATTTGAATAGCCATTTAGTATTTATATGGGAGCAGTAATTTATTCTTCTTTACCCTGTCTCTGATTTTTGCACTCCTTTCTGTTTTTGGAGATGTATTTTCACAGCTCTCTCCACAGCAGTCTGTGCAGCGATGGCTTTATAAATAACCTTCACTGTAAAAGCATAATGGAAAAGCAGAAAAGTACTTCCTCTAGACATGAGGGAAATCTGGTAGACATGTAGTCAGTGGCTCCAAGTATGAATGCATAAGATGATAGAAAGCTAATGGTCCAAGATGAACAGAGAAAATTCCTAAAAGCAAAAATTTAAGGTTTGATATAAAAGTAAGATTTCTTAAGTTGCAAGTTTGGGGTTGTTGTTGTTGTTGTTATGTGCCATCGAGTCGAACACGACTCACAGCGACCCCTCCTTGGGTTTCTGAGGCAGTATCACTACAGAAGTAGATTGCCCCATCTTCCTTCCGAGGAGTGGCTGGTGGGTTTGAACCGCCGGCCTTCTGGAAGTTTAGGGTAGGAATTGTGAAATAATAAATTCAAATTTGGACAGATGAGTTTTTGTATAGTTGTATGTTTAAATTTTTTTCTTGAGCATCATATAAGTGAAGAAGTTAGTATTATATACAAATTGGACAATTAAAAATGGAGGTTCAGTTTCAGTGTATTTTGTTCCTAACTTAAAACAAACAGATATCCTCTTGAACCGCTCTCAGCAGCTCTTCTCAAGTTGCACGGCCAAGTTTGCAGACGGACAGCAGTGCTCTGTGCCAGTTTTTGATATTACACACCAGACACCTCTGTGTGAAGAACATGCCAAAAAAATGGTGAGTTCATGTTTTATTTCTTTTGATAGCTAACCACAGTAGAAAATACTTTGTGACTTAGTACAAACTACATGTGAGTATAAAAACAAAAAGATCATGACCCACTGAATTAAATTCAGACCCTCTTTTTTTTTTTTTAACGAACAGAAATGTGTTCTTTCACGGTATAGGAGACTAGAGGTCCAAATTCAGGGCCCCAACTCTAGGGGAAGGTTTTCTCTCTCTGTTGGCTTTGGGGGATGGTCCTTATCTCTCTTCCAGACCCTCATTTTTAAAAATACACTCTTCTAGAAGATATTTGGTAATTAGCTGAGATGTGATCATTTTGTTCATTATTAATCTCTATCCCTTTAAGGTACGTTTTCTTGTACGTAGCAGATTATCCAAGACTCTCTGCCCCCATTTCTCTGGGTTTTTGCTTATGTGTAGTTCTGCAAATGTTTTGAGTATTTGATGAAATTTCAGCCAAAAGCCAAACATTTCTATAATTCTGTTTAACATAATTATTGACTTTAGTTAGTGCTAGTATCATAAGTCCTAATTAATTCAGATTTATTTAGAGGAGAGACAAGTCTGAATTAGTGAAATACCTAAATCATATAATCATCTTTAATACATACATTTGTATTATTTTCATCCATCAGACACTAAGTTCTTCTGCTATTTGCAAGATAGTGCCTAGGTACTCACTTTTGGTACTAAAAAGTTGGGTAAGACAATTCTTGCACTCTTGGAAGTATTGTGCCTTTCATGGAATTCATCAGGGAACTGGATGAGCTTTGCACTAGGACTTAACAGGATAAGGTTTTTTTTGATCCTGGCTTTGCCACCAAATGTCAAACTAAGGTCCTAGGTGGCACAAATGATTTGTCTTCGACCACTAATCTAAGGGTGGGCAGTTCAAACCCACTCAGTGTTACTTCAGAAGAAGAGATTACAGCCAAGAAAACCACATGAAGCAGTTATGAAGCAGTTCTACTCTGTATCATATGGGGTCACTGTTCTGGTTACCTAGTGCCACTCTGACAAGAATATACCACAAATGGGATGGCTTGAACAAACAGGAGTTTATTCTCTTACAGTTTGGGAGGCTAGAAGTCTGAGTTCAAAGTGTTGGGCTCTAGGGGCTGTGTGAAAACCCCTCAACCTTGGGCTTCAGCTCTGCCTCTTGCTTCTGGCCCACTGAAGCTAGAGGCATCTCTTCACTCAGGCAGCTACTGGCTGCTGAGGCTAACAAGCCCAAGATTGACAAATAAAATGGCACAGTCCCGATGTTATCAAACCACACGGCAGGCCATTAATTCAAGCCCTTAGGTCAGCAGAGCATGGCAGGCTGCTGAACAGTGACACAGCTACCTGCAGGGTTCAAGCGTGCCATAAGCTAGAGATCATTCCCAAAGCTGCTTCTTATATATGGAAGCGGCCCACATCCCTAAAGCAGCTACTCAGCTGCTCCAGGAGATCCCACCATGGAGATAATTACCAGTCTCATCATGGGGAATATTACGTTCAGCTGCCCAGCCACTCAACCAGGCCCAGCCAAGTTGACAAACTTAACTACCACAGACACCATGAGTTAGAAAACCTCAGCAGCAGCTAACATGAAGTGTAAAACTAGCAATGAATGATTTAATTTTACCATGCCTCATTTTCCTTGTCTGTAGTTCACTAGCTTCTTCTCTACCAAGAACTTTTTTCTAGGTTTCTTGTGTGAACCATATGTTTTGGGAAATTTGTATGCTGAATTATCTGTCCCAATCTGTGGTATTATAATCTAACAGCCACTCAAGCTAGAAACCCTAGAGTCATTTTAAAGTTTTACATTCCCTTCATCTTCTCCAGGCCCCTTGAGCCATCAAATCCTGAGAAGTCTATCTTGAGAGGGCCTTACTTTCCCATTCCCATTTCTATTCCCTTTCCCATTGCCCTTAGCCATTTGGATCTCATAGGGACTTTTGTAGTAGCTGTACAATCTGATTTACTGTACCCATTCACTTGCTGCTTCTGTTGCTGTCAGGGGGTTGTCCTCTTAAAACATGTCAACTCATGTTACTGCTCTCATCAAAAATGGGTTCTGGTGGTGCAGTGCCTAAGGCATTTGACTGCTAACCAGAAGGTTAGTAGTTCAAACCCACCAGCCACTCCATAGAAAGAAGATGAGGCAATCTACTTCCATAAAGATTAATTTCCTAGGAAACCCAATGAGTCAGAATCAACTTGATGGCAGTGGGTTTTGGTTTTGTTTTTTAGTATTGCCTGTAAAAAGTGTAAAAACCTTAACAGATGTTCCAGTCATACATGCTCTGGTCCCAAACTTACTTAGCACTTACTTTTATATTTCATCTCCTGTTATACGCAAGCGCTGGTCATACTCAATTGTTTGCTGTGCCTTTTCTCATTTGTACCATTTCCTTTAGTCTAGAATGACTTTCCCCCTTGCCTCAACCACTTCAAAATCCTACTTATCCTTTAATCTCACAAATCTAAAAATAATTGATTTTCCTTTTGTATATCCGTAGGAAGTGTTTATATTGTTATTGTCCAATTTTTTCTGTGCTGTATTTATGTATACTTGAACTCATGTCTTTCCTATTAGAGGGTAAGTTCTTTGAGAGCATAAATTTTATTTATTTATTTTTAATACTATAGCACCTGTTATGATGTCTTTTAAAATGGGATGAACTCAGTATATATACATGAATTAATTTGAATTAAATGAACTTTTTGTTTATTTAAGCATATAATACATTTTCAGCATTACACAGAATATTAAAAGACATAAGCGTATGTTTAGATAGTTTTAAGCTTTTTCCCAGATGATCTCAGTGTAAAAATACTTGTTTCATCTTTGTGAAGGATAATTTCTTGAGAGGAGATAGCTCTCGTAAAGTTCAGCACCAGCAACAGAGGAAACCCAGGAAAAAAACAAAGCCTCCTGCACTTACCAAAAAACACAAAAAGAAGAGAAGGCGTGGACCTCGTCGACCCCAAAAACCCATTCCCCCTGCAGTGCCCCAAGGGAACCTCAGCATGCCCGCCAGCGTCTCACTGCCAGTGGAGGCCACCCAGATCCGGTCAGTGACAGGGCTGGTGCTCACTTGTCCTTCGCATCTTCGCGCTGTTCTCAGAACACCTAGCTTCACGTGGTAGCCTTGCCTCTCTGTATCAGTCTAGACTTTTTATAGTTCGTAATACACGTTTTACTGAATATGTGACTGGGTTAGATTTTGAAGGTTTTGATTATGCCAGAGAATAGACGCTGAAATTGAGAAGGTAATTGTATACTCTCAGAGTTTCCTGGTTTAATAGGAATTCCATGAATATTCCGACAGAAATGTTCCATCAGAAATCTGATACATTATTAATTTTGCCAGGGTAAACATTTTGGCCAGATGCTTGAGGCTTCTGTTTATGCTAAGCATTTCAGTTATGTTGGTTTGTTTTTTGAGTATTAGTTTGACCAGATTTGAAACTCTACTAAAAAATATTAAAACACACTTGCTACACCAAATTGTGATTTATTCCATGAATTTGAAGTAAAAACATTATCTAGTAATGATCATCTTCTCTTAACAGCAGGGTAAAAGGTGTAGATATGTGACTGTAGTGAGCTCTATCTTTAGGTAATGGTCCTGCTCTTAAAATGCCCTTCTCTGAAAGTGGGCAAAGAGGCAGTCATTTTACATTAGGATTGCCCTTGTTTGTGTTCAGCGTAAAATCCTAAACGGCATTGAAGTCCCTTTGTGTTCAGTGGACTTGTCTTGGTCATGTTGGTGTGAGGGTCAAACGGGAGCAGTAAGACAATGACGTGATCTTTCCCAGGAGCCCATCCACGCCAGAGCTGAGTGCTGATGAGTTGCCGGATGACATTGCCAACGAGATCACTGACATTCCACATGACTTGGAATTGAACCAGGAGGACTTCGCAGACGTCCTGCCACGGCTGCCTGATGACTTACAAGATTTTGATTTTTTTGAAGGTATGGACAGTATTTTGATCCAACACAAACTTACCAGAAGGGACATAGTTTTATTGAGATGTGTTGGAAGTGTCCCTCCTTACATAGCATGTCTTTCATTGTAGATAGAAAATACAACACTGCTAAAGGTATGTTACCTTTTTCAGAAGGTGAGGAATGTGCCATTTATCTTAACCATATTATAGGCTTAACGAGTTTATAGTTGAACCTACATTGTAATTTTATTCCTTTAAAATGAATAGTTTTGCTTTAGTTTCTGTTTTGAGCAAAGAAATTTTAAACATGAGCTTATTGAAGTCTTTTGGAATTTGCCCTAATTTTAACATCCCACCTTCTACTTAAATTGAAGTGCACTTTTCCAAAACAAAGTTTGCTTAATTCCACCAATTTCCCAGTGCTTTTAGGATAAATCTTTTTTATACTCTTAGAATTGGATATTTTTGTGGCAATAAAGTTCTTAACAGTAAATTTTTTTATAATAGAAATGAAATCAAAGTAGATCTGTGTGTTTCCATTTTGTGAATATTAATTAGAAGTGGGAGAAGAGTTAGCAGAGAGTATCAGAGAATAAAGCGAGAGCATTCTGAATGATAACCCGTGAAGTAAGATGATTACTTCCATGGTGTTATGCTAAAGTCTTTGTATGGATTTCTGTGTTCTAGTCTTCCACACCTGCCCTTCCAGCTGGAAAAAGGGAAGAACAGAAGACCTAAGTGTGGACCTTTCCCACACAACCTTTTTCTCAAATCTGAACCGATATGATATGTTTTCTATTTTAATAGCTTTAATTATAGGTAAAAACCTGTGTATGACCAAATAGTCACTGAGAGTTTTACATTGGTCATCCTAGGAATTCTTAAGAATTTAATATTCGATAAGTTGGGTTTTTTATGATTATTATAAATCAACTAAATATAGTAATTAAAGATCCAAGGCAACTTGGCACTTTAGACCTGTGCTGTAAACTAATATTTAACTTTTTGCTTCCAGTGCAACCCCCTAAAAACTGCTCTTTCAACAAGGATTCTCTTTCAATAGAATATGGTTAAAAATAATTCAATATATGATTTTTTGCAATATAGACTAGATAAAAACTATAGTGATACTTGATGGCTTTTTTTTCACTCAGGAAAGAATGGAGACCTCCTCCCGACTACCGAAGAGGCTGAGGAACTTGAACGGGCCTTGCAGGCTGTAACTTCTCTCGAGTGCCTGAGTACCATTGGGGTACTTACCCAGTCAGATGGTGTGCCAGTCCAGGAGCTGTCAGATAGAGGGATAGGGGTGTTCTCCACAGGTACTGGAGCTTCAGGAATTCAGTCCTTGAGCCGAGAAGTAAACACAGACCTCGGGGAGCTATTGAATGGGCGTATAGTACATGATAATTTTTCTAGTCTCGAGCTGGATGAGAACCTGCTCCGTTCTGCTACCTTGTCTAACCCACCTACACCCCTGGCAGGGCAGATCCAGGGGCAGTTCTCTGCCCCAGCCAACGTTGGCCTTACTTCTGCCACTCTGATCAGCCAGAGTGCACTTGGGGAGAGAGCCTTCCCAGGACAGTTTCATGGACTTCATGATGGCAGCCATGCCTCCCAGAGGCCACATCCTGCCCAGCTGCTGAGCAAGGCAGATGACCTAATCACCTCACGACAGCAATACAGCAGTGATCATTCACACTCCTCGCCCCATGGAAGCCATTATGATAGTGAGCACGTGCCGTCTCCCTACAGTGACCATATCACCTCTCCCCACACATCTTACTCTGGTGATAATATGGCAGCTACCTTCTCAGCAGAGATGCCCATCATGGCGCAACACCTGCTCCCAACCCAGCTTGAGGTGCCACTTGGAGGAGTGGTAAACCCCAGAACTCACTGGGGTAATCTCCCTGTCAACCTCGGGGATCCCTCACCATTTAGCAACCTTCTTGGCGCAGATGGACATCTTCTTTCCACTTCCCTATCCACGCCACCCACCACCTCGAACTCAGAGACCACACAGCCTGCCTTCGCCACCGTGACCCCCAGCAGCTCCAGTGTGCTTCCGGGGTTACCACAGACCAGCTTCAGTGGCATGGGGCCTTCTGCTGAACTAATGGCCTCCACCTCCCCCAAGCAGCAACTCCCTCAGTTCAGCGCAGCCTTTGGCCACCAGCTGAGTTCTCACAGTGGCATTCCTAAGGACCTTCAGCCCAGCCACAGCTCTATAGCCCCTCCTACAGGCTTCACAGTAACAGGTGCCACAGCTACAAGTACCAATAATGCATCTTCTCCCTTTACCTCCCCTAACTGAGCGTGTCTGTGTGCTTGCAGGCAGGTGGGGAACCCGTGTTTTCTATCTTTGTTTCCTCTTTAACACACCTCTCCCCTTTTCCTACAGAAGATTTTAAAATAACAGAGGGGGACTAGAGGGGAACCCGTTTTCCCAGTTAAGCAAGTTGCCCTGCAGCGGATCTTGCTTCAGTGTTCACATGTGCTCCTTTGCACTGGTGCTCATTCCCTCCTGGCAGGTTCACCCAACCCCCACGGCGTCCTTAGTGGTTCAGCACAGTGACTGCATAGAATCGATTTTTAGCAGCGAGTCCTAGAAGTGGAAGATACCTCAGAATACCAGTGCCCTTTACTATTTCCTAGTATTCAGATCAGTGCTTTCCATTCTATTGCCAGATTTTTAAATAAGTGGTTTTAGATAGAATAATCCTATTAATCATGTTCCTGTGTAAGAGCTAGCAAATGGTGTATAGAGGCAGAAGAAGGCTCTGACTTAGCACCAACTGCTAAATACCACATTGAGGCCAGGATTCCATTCCTAATTGTGATCATGTTTAACGAAAAAGGAAAAAAAATTAGTCTTTTGATCACTTGTGTGTTTGTGCGCGCCAGCATGTATGTTTTTGTACAGGGCAGGAAGCAGCCTTCCAATTGTTTTTTTTCTGATGAGTGTAAGGCCCTTTCTTTTCTCCTTCCCCACATCTCAGCCTTTATAAGGTTGGACATCCTTTCCCATTGAGTTAACTAAAGTTTCCTAAATAGAGAGGGCAGTGATTTGGTCGTGTGACCCTTTTCTGCTAAAGGTCATCACAAGGAGAAATGGAACACAAACTGAATTTGAGTCAGTGACGTGGGGAGGTTGGGAAAAGCTTTCCTGGAGTGACTATAAGGATGCAGAGGTTCGCAGGCCTGTGGTCGTGCCACCTTTTCCGACCTGCATTTTTTTCTAAGTCCCTACATTTGCAAAATGTAATTAAAGAAACACATTTACAAGATGCAATTAAAGAAAACATTTTGATGGAATAGCAGGATAGGTCAGATAGATCTGGAGAGATGGGATCTGTGAACTCCTTGGCCCACCTTTGGTTTTGAATTTTTCATGTTTACAGTAGTGATTCTTTGCTAAGATTTGTAAAATGTTGAAGACACTTGTAGAATCAGTGTATCAGTTGTGAAGTGATGTGTAATACCTGAAGGATACACATTTTAATGTTTCTTTCAAAGCAGAATATGGAAGTTGGAAACAAATTTTACCTACCTTTTGGTACTTTTAAAACGATTTAATTATTTAGGTTTAAATAAATTTGGAAATCATTTTGGGGACTTTTTAAAAAGTACCAGAATTTTAGCATTAAAAATCATATTGGGTAGTTGTATAAGTTGGTGACTTTGAAATGAACATGTGAGATTTCTTCTTGCCCTCTCCTCCCTGCCCCCCACACCTAAGGGTGGAACTAGATTTTAAAGGTGTCTGTCCTCTGCTTTTGCTGAGAAGTTTCACTGTCCCCTGAGATACCATTGGCTATTTACACCTGAGTCTAATTTACATATATATATTTTAAAAGATGAGTAGAGAGAACATATCTATTAATGATGTAGTACAATAATTCATTTGTCAGGGAATGTTTGTGCTTGATTCCTTTCAAATAGGTAAAAGATTTGGATGTATTTTCTTACTTCCTATATATATTCTCTTTATGCCGTGCTAGTTCTAACCAACCCCTTCTTTTGAAAGCTTTTCTTTCTTTGCTTTTTAAAGATAATGGTGATCAGCAGGCATTATGCAGATAACCACGTGCCTGGGATTATGGGGAAAATGTCACATGACTGTATGAAATCATTATATGCCCTATTTTGTATTTATTGAAGTTTCTTTTCGTGGGCCAAAAATATGTTTGTAATATATTAAGTTTTTTTTTTTTTTTTTAATCATGAAAATTGATTGGAAGATTTATTTTTAATAACTTTGCCTTTTTTGCAGATTGAGAAATTTCTAAATTATAAATTATGTCACAAAGCAAAAATATATTTGGTATCACCATAATTTCTATTCTGAATGGTGAGAACAGATAATTTGACTATTCCTCACCTGTGAACCTTGTCAGTAAGCTTTTTTATTTTAATGTACTGTAATGGAATGATTATGAGTAGTTACCTCTGTTCAAAAGTGTCACTTAGTTTTGCAAAACAATTTGCAGTCCTATTATAATCATCGCTAGGTAACTGTCCATACACAGAGATTTGGTTTCGAGTCCGTGAGTACTAACTAGAGATTATAGCAGAGCAGCCACTGACTTCCTTCTCATCCCTTCTGTGCCAGCGAAGCGGAAGTTGGGGGCAGTAGATCTGAACTTTTCTGACTATTTTTCCCTCACGTTAGCTGCTTAAAATTCTTCAGTTATCAAAACTGAGTTTGCAGTAATTGCACATTTTATTGTTTGCAGTTTTCTGTTTTAGATGCATTTAAAAGCCCTTCTCTGCTTTCTAGTAAGGAAGCATGAAATGATCAGGAATGTTGCCAGTTAGAGCTTCACACCAAAAACTTTTGAGTCAATTCATTTTTGTTTAAATGCCCATGATGATAGCTGAGGAAGGAGCATCCTCAGAACGTACCTGTGTAGGGTTGAGGAATTAGCGAAAACAAACTTTCCTTCTCATTTCATCCACTTCAAAACAAGTATGTCCAAACTTGCGGTTCGCTCTGCTCTCTCCATTTGGTGGGAGTCCCATTTCGGAAGACAGAAGAACATCTGTAAGCCCAGAGAGATCTGGTAGGTTTTTCTTCTAGCTAACGGAGAAATTGTAGTCTGTTATTAGCAGGCTTGGTATTGATATGTAAAGAGAAGAATGAAGTGTCTTTTATTCCAGAAATGCGAAAAATGAGCATCTTTTAAAAGAGCACTTATGCAGTCTATCGTAAGACAATACTGGAATCAAAAACAAATCTTATATAAGGTCCTAATTAGGTGGAAACTAGCTTTTCTTCTAGTGTTAAATGCATGAGAAATAGTGGCAAAGAAGGATCACTCTGTTTCTGCAGTTCTTTGGGACCATTTATAAAGGCCAGTTAGGTTTTGTTAATATCATTTCATTTACACAATTGCTGCAGTTAATATACACATCCTATGCTCTGAGAATCTGAATTCCATTCTAATGTATGCCATGTACTGGCTGTTACCTATAGCATCTGAAGAAGAGATGTGTTTTCTCTCCTTTACTCTCTCGGCATAATTGTTCATATTATTTTAATTAAACTACTTAGATTTTTTTTTTCCTGTAAAAACATCTTAGCAATTTGCACATCTGGGTAGGTTATGTAGCTAGTAAATAATCCACAATAATAAATGGCAATTATACTTAACCAACCACGTGACAGACTATGCAATGGAAAGATTTTCTAATTACTGTCATGTAGCTTATACAGCAAAGGATTTGCTAACCTACCATGTGTCATATAACTGCTTTATAAATGACTTCCAGAGCAATTTCATGTTGGCAAGCAATGTGGCATGTCTAGTGTCCTTCCGTAAGATTATAATTCAGTGAGAAACAGATAGTGGGTATGGAGATCAGGTTGGAAAGTGTTTTTGTTTTGTTTTTCTTTTCCTTAAAATTGGTGTTACTATCTTTAGTGGCTTAAGGATAAAGAAATCTAATACTTTATCTTTGCCAAATAATTATTTATAAAACTTAAGTCTTAAATAACTGATTAGTTATTTAAAAGTCCACTCTCAATGTTAAGAGTTGTCATTTTCTGTGACTAACACTAAAACTTTTCCTTAATCAGAGCACATATTCAATCCATGATCACAGTCCACAGGGGCAAAGACAGCTCTTTGATTCGGAAGGAAATGATGTCCTTGATACACATAGGTAACCCAGTTATACAATTCATTTCTGTTAACCAGCACCACTCAGTTTTTATAAACAGGCTCCAAAGTTTGGACACATGTAGGTAAATTCCATGCTGTTACTTCATTGATACTTGCCTGAAATCCTTCCTGTACCCTTGAGCCTGACGTAGGGTGGTGGTGGTAGGCAGGTAGGCAGCATCAGGAATGTTCATGTGAGGCCATAGCCCTCCTTCAAGTTAGCTGTTTTGAATTGGTATTACAGAAAGGTGGGGATGTTAATAACACTAAGTATTCAATAGATTAGAAATTGATGGAAAAAAATTTAGGTCTACCTTTCCATTTCTTCATCCTTTTTCTTTTTAGCTTTCTTTTAAAATTCTGCTAAAAATTCTTAGTCAGGTGTATAGAATGATCTAAGATAGTACTTTCATAAATGGTCAACAGAACTCAGCAGTTTGAAGGATTCCTTGAAAGAAAATGTAGTCACACAGAACAGTCTTCATCTGTGTCTGTTCCATCACCAACTTCCACATTGCTCCAAGGATTTTTTTTTCCCTAAAGAGAAATGTGTATCTTACAAGAATATACATATATGGAACATAGACTTTTTCTCTCAATAAATTGAGAATAATTGGACCTTCACTGGCATTCTACAGAAAAGTGAAATGATTACATGATTTCTTGATATTTCCTAGATATCACATCCTGGAGAGAAAACCTGTATTTGGTAGATTTAAAGTAACAATTTGAAATGCTACCTTTCAAAAGATTTGTAACGAAATACCAGTGATCTGCTAAACATTTTCCCCTGACCAGTGAGGCAGGAAAGGAAACATAAAACATATGTAAATAGTTATGTCTCTCAGAAACGTTGCTAAAATTGTGAATCAACTTGGGAACCCTCATTTCTAAAGAGCAAAACTTTTTTTTTTTTTTTTTTTTTACTCCAGCTCTTATGTTTTCTTAGTTTTTCTCTGTCTGGACTATGATACAGCACTAACAGGAAATGTGGCATTTCAGAGAAAGAGAACAAATTGGGTATGACTTTCTTTACTTTGAGGAGCTCTGGTGGTCTAGTGGTTAAAGATTAGGCTGCTAACCAAAAGGTCGATGGTTTGAACCCACCAGTCACTTTCTGGAAGAAAGATGAGGCAGTTTGCTTCTGTAAATATTTACATTCTTGCAAACCCTATGGAGTAATTCTGTTCTGCCCTATAGGGTCACTATGAGTCGGAATCAACTCGGTGGCAGTGGGTTTTTTTGTTTTCTTCAGGTTCCCTAAAATGGGAATGTTTGGTAGTTTAAATGGCAATATCTGATGATCTGAAGTTTAGTCTGAGGAACAATCTTACAAGAGAAAAATCTCTCTGACTCTTAGTAAGCTCCTTAGGGCGGCACAGCCTGCCTTCTTCC